AGATGGAATCATTAGGCCAAGTTGTTCAGAGTATGCATCACCTATAGTACTAGTGAAGAAAAAAACTGGAGACATGAGGTTATGTATTGATTTTAGAAGACTGAACAAAATTATATGTAGAGACAACTACCCGCTACCATTGATCGACGATTTATTAGACAGACTATGCGGAAAAACAGTATTTTCAAAGTTGGATCTAAAAAACGGGTATTTTCATGTTTTTGTTAATGAGCAATCTATTAAATACACTTCATTTGTTACCCCTTTAGGACAATATGAATTTCTTAGGATGCCCATGGGTTTAAAAACTGCGCCACATGTATTTCAAAGATTTGTTAATAACATATTTTGTGATATGATAAAAGATAATAAGGTAATTGTTTACATGGATGATATTATGATAGCAAGTACAAACATAAAGGAACACATGGAGACCTTAAAGGAAGTGTTTATAAGACTGGTGCAAAACAAATTAGAGTTGAAATTAGATAAGTGTGAATTTTTTAAAAGCAGCGTTAAATATTTAGGATTTGTGGTGGATAGTAAAGGCGTTAGGGCTGATGAAAAAGGGTTAGAAGCGGTTAAATCCTTTCCAATACCAAACAAAATTCAGGGAGTACAAAGTTTCCTAGGGTTATGCTCCTACTTCAGGAGGTTCATTTTAAACTTTTCTATATTAGCTAAACCCTTATATGATTTATTGAAAAAAGATAAGAAATTCAAGTTTGGAGAAGAGGAGTTTAAGTGTTTTAATATGTTAAAAGATAAATTGTTAGAGGCGCCAGTACTATCAATATATAATTACAAAGAAGAAATAGAACTACATTGTGATGCCAGCGCAGTGGGATTTGGGGCTGTTTTATTTCAAAAAAAAGAAGATAGGAAATTACACCCGATTTTTTATTTTTCTAAAAGAACAACCGAAGTAGAGTCTAAATATCATAGTTTTGAGTTAGAAACGCTAGCCATCATTTACGCATTACGCAGATTTCGTATATATCTGCAGGGAAAACGATTTAAAATAATGACAGATTGCAACTCTTTAACTTTAACGCTTAACAAAATAGATTTAAATCCGAGAATTGCTAGATGGGCGTTAGAACTACAAAATTACGATTTTGAGTTAGTGCATAGATCGGGCAAGCAAATGCAACATGTGGATGCGTTAAGCAGATGTTATGAGGACATTTTAGTTATTGAATCCAATAGTTTTGAGGACAATTTAGTTATTTGCCAAAGCAAAGATGACAAACTGGTAGATATTAGAAAGATGTTAGAAAAAGAAGAGCACAAGCTATTCGAAATGAGAAATGGGGTCATTTACAGAAAAACAAATGATGGCAGATTAGTTTTTTATGTACCAAAGGATATGGAAGAACATGTACTTTACAAATATCATGATGAGTTGGGACATGCTGGGAGAGATAAGATGATCGATGCCATTGGAAAGAGTTACTGGTTCCCATATATTAAGGAAAAAGCAATAAAGCATATAGGGAATTGTTTAAAATGCATTGCCTTCGCCCCCAAGACGGGTAAGAGTGAAGGACTATTACATAGCATACCGAAAGGAAACAAACCGTGGGAGATGATCCATATAGACCATTATGGACCAATTAATGCAGGAAGGGCTAATAAATATATATTGGCGGTGGTTGACGGATTTTCAAAATTTGTTAGACTATATACAGCAAAGACAACAAGTACGAAAGAAGCGATTAAGGCATTAAAAGATTATTTCAGAGCGTATAGTAGACCTAAGTTCATTGTATCGGACAGAGGGAGTTGTTTTACTGCAAAAGAGTTTGATGAATTTTTAAAAAATGAGGGAGTAACGCATATTAAAATAGCAACGGGTTGTCCGCAAGCAAATGGTCAGGTGGAAAGGTTGAATAGAGACTTGGGTCCGATGATGGCAAAAATGGCGGAGCCAGAAAATGGTTTACATTGGGATGTTATTATAGAAAATGTTGAATATGCAATAAACAACACACAACACAAAAGCATAAAGAAATTTCCAAGCGAAATGTTATTCGGATTACAACAGAAAGGAAAAGTTGTTGATGAATTAAAAGAAAAATTAGAAGAGTTTACACAGGTGAACACGTGTGATAAAAGAAATTTAGAAAATATAAGAAAGAGTGGAGAAATATATCAAAAAGAAGCTCAAATCAGAAATGAAGAGCGGATTAATAAAAAGAAGAAAGTATCAGTAGAATATAAAATAGGTGACTATGTCATGGTAAAAAATTTTGATAGCACACCAGGAGTTTCAAAAAAGTTAATACCAAGATATAAAGGGCCTTATAGTATAGAAAAGATTTTAAAAAATGATAGATACTTGTTAAAGGATGTAGAAGGCTTTCAATTATCTCGCAACCCGTACGTTGGTATCTGGAATAGCCAAAACTTTAAGCATTGGATGCGAAAATAGGCAATAAGCATTAGTTATAAAGATAGATACACATATAAAAGACAGAGATCGGGAGCTCTCTTTGTCAGGATGGCCGAGTTGTAATAGGATAAGAGCATCATTGGTAACCCTAGCCAGGGTATTATAGTGTCACTATCTATGTTAATTATAACAGTACGATAAGTAAATATCGATAAAGAAAAGCGGCTGCAGAGAAGAAGTGGAAGGCAGTCTCTCTACAGTACTAGCAGTAAGAAGACGTGTTGTTAAAAATAAAAAGGCAACCCGAACATAAGTTAAATCAACGAAGAAAATCATACTATTACAATACATACATATATATAAATGAGGAACTCTACTCATAAGATGGAGCCAAAAATATTGCGCCCACGCCCACAATCGCCCCGCAAGTTGCACAAATCAATATTCCAAAAACTTAGTGCATAAAGTCTTAGAGTACCCAGCAACATATTCAAGAGGACTCTACTTTAAACAGAGTATTGCGCAGTCGTTTACACCCTACTGCAACGTTTTTAGTTCTTTTGACTTGCTTTGTTTAAATTTTTTCGTTTGACTAGACAATTAATTAGATTAAAATTCGATTGCATTTGTTGAGAAAATAAACTAGAAAATAAACTAAAACTGAAACGGAATTTTTTTTTAACCAAATCGTTGCGAAGCCGGAATTCCAACTTTGCATTGACCTTAAATGGAACCTTTAAGCGTCTTAGCTGACTACCTGAACCGGAATCATATATTGCCAGAAGTTGTTACGATTCAAGCAATATTATGTTCCACGCAAAATTGTTAGAACATGTGAGAAACAAGGTTCAAGCAAAAACCAGCTGTGCCTGCACTCTTGCTGCCCAATATTCGGCTGCACAATGATAAATGTTATTTATTCCAAAATATATAAATCCAAAAATAATAACAATTATTAAAATGCAATTTGTATATTTGTTTTTGAATCATACAAAATTGTGAAAGCAGCAAAAATTCGATGATTGCAAAATTCATCTGTTTGCGGATTTCGCACGCAAATATGTTGCAGCTTTAGTTTTTGCCACACTCCCAGTTTTAGATGCTCTAGCTTTGCCGCATAAAAAATGCATTCAGTTGCAGTTCCTTAGCCCATTTGGCAAAAAATCAAAAGGGCAATGAAACTTTGCTGGTCGCCTCAGTCAAGAGCGTTGAGGCCATAAAAAAGCTGAAGTGTGGCGCCGCAAAGCGGGCAACACGGCGAACGCTTGCGGCAGCGGCACTGTTGAGGGCAAGTGCTATAAATCTAACGATAATTTGATGCGAGACGTTTAACGATGCTCTTGCGACAATTTGCACAAAAGAATCAACCCAGACCTGCCCGTGCTGCCCACACACCCGACACAGTTACAACTAGAGGTCAATGATCTCATCTTGGGCCGAGCAGCATTTCGTTTTAATTTCAGCTCGCCCGGGGCTCAAGCAGGTCTTAAGCCAATTAAATTAAACAAATGCCACAAAACTGTTGCATAGCTGGGCACAGTGGGGCATGGTGGTTGCTATTGTGTGTGTGTGGTGCCCTGAATACGGTATCCGGAATTCAGAATTCGGAATCCGCTTCGCTGTTGTAAGCCATTTGCAAAGTTTACGAGTATTTTATTTTTTACACAGAATTCTACGAATTCCATCATGTGCCCTCCGCCAGGTGGCGCCAGTAGCTCACTCAGAGTCTTTTCTTTTGCATAAATTTCAAGATGATTGTGTGCGGCCGCTTGTCGCATGCCCCACACCTTCATGTGCCTCACACGGCTGATTTGGCAAACATTATGCAACTGCAACAATTGCTGGCAAACGAAGCCAATCAGTCGCCAGCGATAAAGTTGACTGGCGGGTGCTGAGTTTTGGCTGCTGCTGGAAATTACAGTTAACCAAAAAAAAAAAAAAAAAAATGCATTGAGCCACCGCTGCCAAGCTCCACCCGACCAGCAGCTGCTGACGAGACACAAAATCGTCTGCCATAAATATTAGATTTGAAAAGTGTGTATGAAATATGCTGACAGTTTGACGATGGGCCGGGTTTTTGTTGAGCATGTGCCCTTATCAGCATATTGATCAGTGCCGCAGAGTTGCATTCACCGAGCTCCATGTGGCACTCAACAGAAAGCAGGCGCAAATTAAGCGAGCAAACAAATGGTACAAGTTTGTCCATAAAAAAAAAGGAAGAAGAAGATGAAAAAAAAAAGTAACAGGCGAAAGACACAAAAAACACGCACGGGGGCAACATAAAGTATCATGTGTACGAGTATGAACCCGAAATTAAATGAAAGATTCATGTTAATGGCATTGAAGTGTTTATGCGGCGTATACTTGATTTTTATTTCTGTCGACCGCTGTGTTAAACTGTCAGACAAAAGTGCGTGCAACGAGCCGACAGATAAATAATAAATGAGGCCAGCCTGATGACAGACCTATACATGTCAAAGGATATTGAGATGTTGTCAATGGGATATTTGATTGAGTCTGGCTAAGCCACAAGAGATATGCAAGTTAATCGCAGGAAAAACATCTTTACAACAAGAATGCCAAGAATTGATAGCTAAATACTTACGCCAAATGCTTGGCCAATCTCTCAGTCAGTGCAGAATGCAATCTGTCCGGTATCAAGTGCCAAGAAACCAACTGATGAGCACTGTTGACAAGGATGCCTCGGCAACGCCTTAGTTGATGAATCCGCTTTCAAATTGTCAACTGAAAATGTACGTCGAGAGCGTTGACTGCGTCGGGCTGCTCGCAAAGGACCGTCTGGGACAACCTGCCACTGGGCGAGACAAAAGCGAACTGAATCAAGTCCGGCGACTGATGCTGCACCAAATACGAAGCCGACTGCCAACTGCCAACAGCTAGCAGCCAACTGCCGCCTGCCGCACGATGCCGAACCGAAACGAATGTCGGCCGACCGACCGACCGACTTACTGCCCCTTACTGTTCCCCATTACTGCCGCTTAACTTTTGTCCACAGGCATTCCACATAATAGTAAATTGTAGACTGATATAAATATCAAAAAAAAATAAAAAAATATTTAAATAAAATAAACCAAAATTACATACTTTATTATTTTGTAGAGGCCAAGTTTCAAATTATTATTACTAAAGCATTAGTCTGCCAATCGCAGTAATTATCAAACTTGGGCGCCTCTCATCGCTGCGCTCGGCTCACAGTCAAAGTGAAAGTAGTATTAATATAACACTTAACAGTAACAGACAAACTTACTGTCACAACAACATCAACAGCAACAGTAAAAGTAACAGTAGCAATTACAGATCACAGTAACTGCCAAAGTAGTATTTAAGTTTATGTGCCCATTATCGCTTGCTAATTTGTTAGTCTCGGCCATGCTGGCAACTCAATCACTTTTATTGACTGTCCCACTAATAATATCTATGCAACTATATTGAAAGCAACAGTAATAACTGCAGTCGTAGTCACTACAACAGTTACTTTAACAGTAGCAGTAACAATCACATTAATATCAGAGTTATATTATCAGCAACATTAACAGATGTAGTAACAAGCACAGTAACAGTTGCGGTCATAGTCCGAGTAACTTTAACAGAGGCAGCAACATATGTAGTCAAACTAACAGATCACTGTAATATCACAGTTATATTATCAGGAATATTAACAATTGCAGTAACAAGCACAGTAACAGTTGCGGTCATAGTCTGAGTAACTTTAACAGAGGCAGCAACATATGCAGTCAGATCAGTCAAAGTAACAGATCACTGTTATATCATAGTTATGTTAACAGCAATATTAACAGTTTCAGTAACACGCACAGTAATTATATTTACAGAGTTGATGTGACAATAACAGTTACAGTTAAATGGAAATTGATGTGCCAATTTCGTCTGTCGCCTTCAATAGCTAGCCTACATCTGAATATTTCCAAACGCTTTCCAACTGCACTGCGACGTAATGAGCATATGTAGCTCGTGTGTTTATGTGTCACAGCCGAGTCAAAGTAAGTGCCAGTTGGGCTTAACTCAATTTGCACCTGTCATAAGGGAGGGCGGGGGTAGGCGTCATTTTAGTTGGGTGCATCTCGAGTGCAGCGCGGTGCATGCAACAGGGTGCATAAATAAATACTGACATGTTTACACTGACTGTTTTTTGTTGTTTTTTTTTTGCTGTCAAAAGGTGTTACCAACTTTGTGCTCCAAATGGGGCGTAAAGCTGTGAACTTGCCATTCCGAATGGCTTGTGTGCGTCTCCACTCAGCCCCGCACCATTGAATATGTATTCTTGCATAACTTCGGTGCTTATTGTCCGATCGTTATGAAATTTTCAAAAGATCAATATATACAAATTCAAATGTGTGTAAGTGCAAAACCATAAAACTTTAGCTGAGTGAGAGCCAGAAAGAAATACTATTCTAAATGAAGTTCTTAGCTCTTATAGCTGCTGAGGGGGGATTGCGTCAGCAAAACAAGTAAGATGTTCTAGGGGATACCCTCAACCCTCTTATTCCAATACCAAAAAAAAGAGTTTCACGCTGATAACTTCCAAGATCGACGCAATCATATACTTTACTTTTAGAAAGACACTTATTCTAGTCCATAGATTACAAGAGTTTTCTGAGAAACATTAAAGAAACTATTTCGGGCAGAGTTCGTATTTTTTAGCCTTAAGAGTTCGCGGTTTACAACACTGAGTCGTGCATTTCTTTACGGTTTGAGAGTGACTGTATGCCGCCTAATTGACATGCTGTGCAGCCAGTTTCCAGTGTTGCCTGACCCCACGGTTTCCTCATATGTAAGTGTGTACCTATGTATGTGTGATTGTATTTATTTATAGCTTTTGGCCACACGTTGCGCTATTGCCAAAACTCAGACAGCAAAAAAAAAAACCAACTTTAATTGTCGCTCAAGTGGCATACCCCGTTGGCCCCCCTTCTGCCGGCATCACCACCTGCTGCTGGAACAGTAGCAACAGTTTCGCTACCTTTTTGTGACTTTCTTTCCGCAATAAACGTAAAAAGTGACACCCACAGCTCGTTGGCATACAAATGCGAACAATTCGAGCGCTCATCAGCGTTTGCCAACATCTCTGTCCTCTTCTTCCGTCCCTCCCACCGTCTTCTGACCATTCAAGCCCCATGTCTGGGCAAGTCGAGCGTCTGGTCAACAAAATTGAAATACAAATTCAAATTCGCGTTGCGCTTATGCAAAGAAAACAAAAGAAATGCACAAATTATGTGAAAAAAAAAAAACAACAACAGCCAAGATAAGCGAGAGAAAAAAAAAATGACATAAAAATAAAAACAATTAAACAAATTACATTTCGAGTAAATATTTGTAATAATTGTTGTAAAATCGTCGTGGCTGGCCATGCATTTGGGCCAAGTCTAGCCCGAACGAAGCGGTTAAAACAAAGCACAAAACAAAAACCCAAATAAAATAATAATTAAATAATTTGGTCTGCCCCGCAGCAGCAACAACTTAAAAGTTATATAATATTCCACGATTATGACTGTGGTAATTATTTGTTATTGTTTTTTTTTTTTTTCGCGTCACGATTGCCAGCTGAGCTGTTTCTCTCTACCATTGAAAATGGGTACAAAAAATGAGAAAGGGTATTATTTTTCTTCTACGTTTTTTGGTGGTTTCTATTAGTTTTTCGCTGCGTGAACATTGCATCGTTTGTTGGAACCGTGGCCAATAGCGTTAACTTCTGTGATTATCCGACAGCTCTATCTGCGTCGGTGTGAGAAGAAAGAAGACGCTGACCACGATGCAATCGTTTCCAGCTGGGCTAGGTTAGTTAACTCGCAAGTCGCTAAACGATTAGTGGTTCATTATGTTTTCGACCGATCTATCTATGATTAAGAAAGTAACATTTAGTTTCAGCCCTAGACATCATTGTTAGCTGATACGATCTGACAAATACAACAGGTATAGCTTCTGAGCAAACGAAGCATAGGCCATTATAGATACATTGTACCGCCTACTGATCTACCTCCCGTTCTTCCTTAAATACAGCCGATTGAAAGAGGAGCACTTGGTTGCATCGCGGGGCAAAGCATAACCCTAAAATAGCTGACGAAAATAGTTATTTTCGATGGAGAGACGAGCACTTAGTTCCATCCCGATACAAAATGCACTTGGGGTACTAACACTTAGAAAAGTTGATAATCTTCCAGCCAAACGAAATTTGTACCCTTATTGGTCCATATTAATGCCAACCGATCCACCTGCCTCCTTGAACCCAAATAATAAAGTAACGCGCACCTGGTTCCAACCTGGGTCAAAGCTTACAGCTGAAAAGCACTTGGAGGTCCTAACCTTAAAAAGACCTTAGAGATTCAACATGAATAGATTTTTAACAAAGACATTTAGATCAATATCATCCGATCTATCTTCCATTTTTCCCTGAAGACAAACAACATCCACTTTTCCATAGAGTTATTAGAATAAATAGGGGCAAGTCTAGCGGCATGAGTGCTAACCAATCTGTGACCAGTAATGGTTAGGACTATTTATACTGTATCCTACAGTTTGATGCGAAATTGGTTTCATGGCAGTGAAAAATATCCATGGCAAGCACTGCCATTTTAAAAATACACAAATAAATTACAGAAATTTCTCAGTATTTATGATATTCATCATAAAATATTAAATCGATTTTGTGTTCCGATATGTATATGTATATAGACAAAAGTTCTAATCGCAATGCTAGGCGACAGTTTGGAAGCAACTGGAGAGCAGATCCGTGCACTGCTTGGCACCAGGCTGGCTTAACATGAACATTTTGTACAGATTCGAAATTCGTATTCGAAATTCGTTTGTCAATTCGATTGATTAAAAATTACGTCAAGTTATTGCCAAAATTTTACATAATACAAATTCAGCGCAAGTATTGAGCTGTCGTACAAAATTTCAATATCCAACACATTCATAACCAAATATGTCGCTGCTTAGTGAGATAATAACTGGCACAGCCATTACGGCTGGCACACGGGCGGGCACCCTGCATCCAGATCTGAAACCGTGGCAGCGCATCGATTTGCCGCTTTGCACCCAGTCGAACTTGTTTAAGGACTGGGGCTGTCGGCTGCGCAACAAGAAGGCCCTGGAATATTTTACACGCGCATTGTCCGTATGCAAAAGTCAGGGGGATGACACCTGCTGTTTTGACGGACCGACGAATCCGGCTGGGCAAAGGTGCAAACCAATTGATGGACAGTTTTGCAGCTTAGCCTCCGATGCGCTGGATAAGCGTAGCCTTTGTCGACGGTCAATTGCCCAGCCGGAATTGGCGTGGGAGGATGCGCAAAAGGCGCACGAGCTGTTGGAGCTACAGGGACTCTCGAACGTTGGCTATTTAATGAACAAATGCGATGCACTATTCGAGTGCAATCGCTTTGAAGACAATCTAGTCCAACTGAACATTGAGGCTCGTAAGTATCAAGGACAATCTATCAAGGATCGCTTTCAGTTGCGTGCAAATCACGTGAGTTCTTGGATGTTGACTCACGGACCCCGTCCTAACAATCCTTTTGGCATCTTTATACGGTAGACAATTGGTGTGCTCGAGGATACCCTTGGCGATAGCCTCCATCCGTTTCTGCTCGACAATTGGCCGTTGATAACGGAGGTGGCACGCGCTCGCCGAACATCCGTTGTGTTTATGCCACGCCCTCTCTGGCAGCAGCTAAGCGAGAAATTTGACTGCGACGTGGAGAGCGTTATCGACATACAAAAGCCCCTGCTCTCACCGCTGGAGCGTGCACGTCGGCAGGTCTGCAAAAGAGTCTACAACAATCAGTATTTGCACAAGAGCGCCATCGATGT